ACCCGAGCCGATTGGTGAATGAAAAAAAAAAAAAAGAAAAAAAGAAAAAAATGTTCCTTTCGGTAAACACCCGTGAAATTACTCCGATTGTACTTTCATCTGGGGAAAAGCTCCAAATTGGCGCGTAAAAATAGAGCCCATTGAAACGACGCTCCTCCCCCCGTTTCCGCAATAAAGGGTGTAGTACTCTCGCGACACACATGCGAAGAGAGAAAGAGAAAAAAAAAGAAAGAAGGTATATAATCCCTCGACACGGTAGCCGGTTTCCTTTCACTGAGGGGACCTCTCGGATTTTTCACCGATTTTTGCCAAAATAAGCCCCGACACACACGAATACGGGCGCATTTACGAGTCTCTTTTTCGAGAAAAAGGGAATCCGTCAGCCGATTGCGTCCCTCGCATAATCCAATTTTCGTGAGCGCGCCTGCCTCTCTTTTCTTTCGTCCTTTTATTTCGAGTGCAGCGCGCCGGCCCGGGCTCTTTCATCCCCAGCGGGGATTGAAACGCGCACACGTACACATATTCTTACGGATTTTCGGAAAAAATAAGGGGAGGAGGAGATACACGTCACAATACGCGCCGATGCTTACTTTTCAACCCTCTCGATCCAACGGGCGTATATAATATACGTATATATGTACCCATATTGATGTGTTTGTGCGTGTTCTGTGTACAATACGTGTACGCACGAGCTCCTGTCACCCTAACGTTGCGCCACGATTCCGCAATTCACGACAGGCCGGCCGGAATCGATGATGAATCGCTCCCGTCCTTTCTTTCTTTCTTTCCTGGAAAAATATTATTCTTCCTTCTGTAAAAGTCGTGCGGGTGCAGAGAGAGAGGCTTACAGTGCCTACACTGCAGTGTAGTTTCTGAAAATACCGCGCGCGCTCGCTCCCCCCTCCGAGATGGCTTGATTATATATACACACACATGTATACGTGGTTTGCGCAGTTTTTGGCAGGAAAATGGAAAAAATGGAAAATCATCGCCGCCATGACCTACAGTTAGAAGTAAAGCGAAACAAAACACGTAGGTATATTGCCCGTACAAAAATGGCACGGCACTCGTTAGGCACCGATTAAGTTTAATAAGCAGTTGGTACTCGTACACAAGTACAGACCAACAACGGTCAAGCCCGTCCTCGAGGTATACACGTAGGTGCGCCTCTGTCCACTTTCTCCAAAGCCACAGGCAAATTACTAGCTCGGCAACCAAGAGTATGCAGCCCCCGTTTCCACCCTCCCTCGTCGAAAGAAAGTCCCTTTTTTGAAAAAACGCGTACAGTACGGGTATACCTACCAACACACGCTCGAGAGAAAAAAAAAAAAGGTAGGATAGCCCATGGTAAGCATGACAGGGACCTTAGCCGGGCATTATGGCCCTCATGCACACAGAACGGAATAATAATCATGGGGTAAGCCAGAAGGAGGGGGGGGGGATAGATTCGGCCTAGGAGAGAAAGCCGGTGGTGGTGGTGGTGGTAGGCACCATCAGGGGTTGTGGTAGGAGCGAAAAACAGCATGACAGATCGGCACGAGGCAGCGAGCCGTGCGCATCGCGTCCAAGAAAAGAAAGTGAACGGACTAAAAGAGGAAGGAAGAAAAACGTGCACCGCAGACAACTTTTACCTGGCCCTTTACCCAAAGACCCAGTAAAAAAAGGGCCACCCGGACAACAACAAAGAGGGACGTGCGGTCGCGTGCCTTTTGTCTAGTTTCTTCCTTCAAAATATATATATACCTGTGCACCTGAGACCGCGGTTTCACGCTCCCTCTCTCGCGGGCCTCTTTCGAGAGGGAAAGGAGCGTCGACCAACAAAAAGAAGAAAAAAAAAGGCCGCGCGCCGATCCGGAGCCTCGTCCCTCTCGCCACGGAGGGTCCCCACCACGGCAGCACGTGCCGGCCAAAGACGCCCTGTTTTCTCTCGTTTTTTTTTTTTCCTTCTTCTTCTTCCACTCTCGTCCCGCAGCCAAGGGAGCACGGGGTGTATAACGAGACGGAGGCGCACGCGCCACTCGGAAGGGGGGCCTCCGTGTACTTGCGGTGCGCGCGCGTTAGTGACAAAGTGTGTTCTGGTGTGAGAGGATTGTACGGTTGTATATATATATATACGGCCGGTGGGCACTGCGAAAGTGAGAGAGGACCGGCCCGATGTAGTGTCCGCGATGTGCGAGCCTCGGGTAACATGAGCCCAAGGAGGTGCCCGTCGCCATCCGAACAAGAAAAATATAAAGAAGCCGGTGGGTGCGCGAGTGTTGTTGACCTTGACGCTACCGAGGCCACGAGGACGAAGACAATGACGACGATAACGAGGATGACAATCGAGTGATGATGAAGACGACGAGCGATGCTGCCTTGTTGTTGCCTTCTTGTTTCTTTTGTAATTTTCCGTCGTTGCCATCGACGTGGCCGACCACTGCTCCCGTAGTTTTGTGAAACTGTTCGCTGAAAGGGTACGTAGGAAAAAATCTCTCAGCTTCGAGCGATTTTTAACGTTACCAAGTAGACTATCGGATAAAGTACATCGGTGTTTATGCTAGTTGATTAAAAAATGGACCCTGTCACTGTTTTCAAGCTCATTTTCTGAGATTGGGCGTGTTTTTTTTAGTTGACAGGGATATTCTGTTGTCTGATCTTTTTTTTTTTTTTTTTTTTTTTTTTTTAAAATTTTGTTTTATTCATGCAATAAGTATTTGTNCTTTTTATTCTCAGCAAATTTCTTAAGATATTCCTTCAGATTGTCTTTCATTTTATTATACTCTTCGATAGCGGTCAATTGCTGTACATGGCCGAGAGATGCGAGAGCCTTCATGCCCTTCTCATGAAGAGATTCGTTTCCTTTAGCCTTACTGACTTTTTCATACTCTTGGACAGTGTCGAACGGGTCCAGAAGATACGATAAGCCATGCTCTTCATAAGTCTAAAAATCAAAAATATTTTTTTTTTTTTTTTTTTTTTTTTTTTGTAAAATTTTGTTTTATTCATGCAATAAGTATTTGTTTCGCAGGATGATTTTCAATTTTCCCCTAGTACATATTCATGTACGACCTTGACATTCCGCAACTACGTCAATAGTATCAACAAAATTTCAAATTCTTCGCAAAACGAACATTGTCATTGCTCGAGTTTTCTTTTTCTTTTTTACCAATCATTTAGCGTTCAATAAAAAAAAAAAAAATAAAAAAAAACTCATATCCCCGTAAAAGTGTAAAAACCCTCTATACGTATGGTAGTTTTTCGTTTTCCCTGAGCTCGCACTTGCCGCGAAACGGTTCCCCGGTGGAAAAGGAAACTCGGGGAAAAACCCCACCGAAACCCCAATCGGGAAAAAAGTAGAAAAACCCTCAAATTAAAAATTCCCGATCGAGCGCTTTTCAATAGCACCCATCACGTACGATGGGGAAAAACAGTCTCCGGAGCCACTCGAGTGTAATTTAAAGCGCACCGGGCGTACCATATATACATTATACTATCCTGTTTACGGTCAAGCCGGCACTGCACCTATTTCCCATCAACCGATCACGCCTACAATGCAGGAAGAGAGAGAGGGAGGGAGACCGCTCTAATGAGCTTTACTCGAGCACGCGCTGGCGGAAAACGCGTGCTCCTTATTTTTCCCGAAATCGTCCCCAACGCGTCGAGGGCGCGCACACGCGTGCACGTATGTGGTGGTGGTGGCATGAGTCACACGAGCCTCCCTTGACGGAACGCGAACCCCTTGAACGCCCGCAACCCAGAGGAAGGATAGGAGACGGACAGTGGACGAGAGTATACGTATACGTTATAGAAAACAGACGCTCCGATCGGCAACTCTCGCTTTCCTTCCACACGCGCATCCTCCCTCCCTTCGGCTCATCCCCAGTGGCCAGCATCAACTACTCCTCGGTCCAGGCCCTCATATATCTATACACGCACTTGTAATCATCACGGACACTCGTACACTCCCGCGCTCGTTATTCATTAACGTTGCGCAACATAATCATACATACATATATATATATACATCAACCACATAAAGTCATTACATTATACGTTGTAGCGTTTCGAAACGAACTAAGTTTCCCTGCAGTTTTCTCGCGCTCGATCCCTCGGTGAGATTCATTAATAAAGTATCGGATTCCTATAGGATGAAGGCACCGAGTTTGCAGAATGACCTGGCGGCTATTCTACACCGCTGATATTGGGGGGGGGGAGGACAAAAATTCTTTGGCCCCACTGTTTCGTCGAGATGGCCGGAAAATCGATAATTTTGCTCCTCTCGTATCGTCTCCCGTACACACACATACATATACGTGACCATCTTTAGTTTCGAAGGCCATTGAACGCACAAAGGGGGGGGGGGTAGATATGATTATGTTGGGCGCTGCCGCGAGTTGCTAAATTCTCCCTCGAAAGGAGAGTTTTCCCACCCTCGTCCAATCGCACTGCGCTAGCCAGTCAACTTTTTCCAATTTGTTTAACAACCGTCCGATATGATCAATTTTTCTCGGGAAGGAAAAATTTATGACGCGCCCCTCGCCAGCCGTCTACAATGGTCATTCGGAACCGTCTGCCCTACGAACGTGGAATTTTCATTTTCTTTTCCTTTATTTTTCTTTTTTCCCCTTTTTTTTTTTTTTTTTTTTTTTTTTTTTTCCCCTTTTTTTTTTTTTTTTTTTTTTTTTTTGATTGATCGCCGTCGTGCTTTTCTCCCCAATCGTTACACAGGCTTGGACACGGACTTTTCTTTTTCCCGAAAATCAAACGAAACACAGTGTTCATGGAAACTTTTATTTTTTGAAAGATTTTTTCTTCGTTACACGAATATTCCACTCGAAAAGACGTGCAATAAAATTCCCAAACAAAGTACACCCCAAATGTTCAAATCTAGCCCACATCCACTATAATAGCGAAGCAAAAAAAGGTACTCCTTGTATAAAGCGACGATCGTCGAATCGTTTGTTCTTTGCGCGTGATTGCAGAAAAGGAGCGCGTAGCCGGTGGCAGAAGGAAGGACAATGTCGTCGAGCCAGGAGGCGACGGAGATCGACAGCGAGGGCTCGAGTTGCGAGGAGCGCGAGTCCTCCCGCGGGGGTAGGCAACGGCTGCAGCCCGGGGACTCGGACGGCGCCAGTGGCATACCGAAGAAGCGCCGGAAACAGTCGACGCCCATCAAGTTCTCGACGAGCTCGCTGCCAATGATGATGGGCGACGAGTGCGACGACGAGGACCAAGACGACGACGCGGAGGACGACAACAACGAGGAGGAGGAGGAGGACGAGTCCGAGGAGGAGTTGCAGCTGAAACGAGAGCCAACGGGCGAAGGTAAGCCGCGGCCCCAGAGCCCGACGCTCAAGGACGAGAACCTAAACAGCGAGTTTCGCTGCCAGTACTGCGGCCAATTCCTCGATAGCCGGGCGAGCCTCGAGCTCCACCTCGAGTGCGAGCACGCTTTTGGGGGTGCCCTCCTGGGCAACCCGGAACAACTGAACGGCAACCAGCAGCAGTCCATCAGCCCGATCAATCTGTCGGGTATCAGTGTACGGAGCTTCGCGACCAACGCCGCTTGGCTGCCCGACGGTGGTCCCCTGGCCAAGATGAGGAACCACCACCACCTCCCGCAGCAGCACTTTCCCGGCGTGCCGGTCGGTTTTCCAGGCGCCCTGGGCCAGTTCCTGCCCCTGCCACCGTTTCCCCTGCCCGACTCCTCGGAGATGGCCAGCAGGCCGAGTCTCCTGGCCCAGATGCCCAAGATCTTTAACCGCGAGGCTTACTGCAGTCTGTGCAACCGCGAGCTCTGCAACAAGTACTTCCTCAAGACCCACATGGCCAACAAGCACGGGATCCACATTGACGGCCCACCACCGGCGGCAGTGCCAGCTGGCCTACACCCCGCGTCCCAGAGCAACGATGTCTCGTCGACGAGGCCAGTCACAGCAGCAACAGTAGTACCGGTGAAGGTTCCCCCCGAACAACAACAGTCCCAGCCGCGACTCGACAGCGGTAGTACCAGCAACGGGGTGGTGGTAGTGCAACCGCAACAGCCGACCTTGCCGTGCGACATGTGCTCCAAGCGTTTCAAGAACGAGGAATCGTTGAGGAAGCACAGGAACAAGATCCACGTCGAGAGCGCCGATTCGACCCAGCAGCCACAGATGGGCTACCAGGCTACAGACGGGGACGACCGTCACAGTCCAGGGGGCATGGAGTCGTTGTTTAGGCAAGAGTTCAACGTAGAGCAGGAGGAGCTGTCTTACGCCCCGACTCCGCGCTCGATAACCGTGTCGCCCCAATCGGTGCGCCAGCTCAAGGAGTCGGCCTTCAGCGATGACCACCTACGGCGCATCGGGGTCATGAATCCCGAGGCCTTTTGCGAGCTCTGCTGCAAGGAGTACTGCAACAAGTACTTCTTGCGCGTCCACAAGCTCAAGAGGCACGGCATCTCGGAGGGTGACAAGCCATCGCCCGGGCTGAGTCCTTGGACGGGCCAGCATCAGTTGGTCCAGACGAGCCCGCTCAACCTCATTGTGAGCGACAGTCTGGGCTCGGAGTCCGGGGACCGTCTTCTGGAGGAACACGCGTGCAAGTCCTGTGGCATACGCTTCCAGAACCAGGAACTCTACCTCCTGCACGTCGAGAGGATCCACGAGAACGGGGGAGGAGGGGAGCAGCACGAGCCGTCCGACGAGCAGGACGAGGTTGACCCCGAAAACACCAGTAGCTTGATCGCGGACCAGCAGCGTAGCGAAGCCATTTCCGAGGACCTCCAGAAACTGCAGACCATGATACTCCAACTGAACGGGCTCGAGTCCAACAAACCGGTGACGTGCGTCCTCTGTGGCAGGGACTACGAGTCCCCGGTAGCTCTGAGGAACCACATGCTCGCGGAGCACAACATCCTCTCGGAGACCCTGTCGCCCCCTCAGCAGCAACAGCAGGAAAAACCGAGCCAAGTGGTATGTCCCGCCTGCGACAGGGAGCTCCCGGATCAGGAGGCTTTGAGGAGACACGTTGCCGAGGAGCACCAGCCCGCGACCACCCCGACGCCCCAGCTCCCACCCACTACTACTCCCAAGCCAAGCACACCCCAGCAGCAACAAGGGGAACGCAAGCCCAGCTCGTCCCTGACACCGACGTCGAGCTACTGCGAGATATGCAACAAGGAGCTGTGCAACAAGTACTTTATGAAGACGCACATGCAAAAGATGCACGGGATCGAGATAGAAAATGGCGCGCAGATTGGTGGCGTCGTCTGCAACATATGTAAGAAGGAGCTCTGCAGCAAGTACTTTTTGCGAGTGCACAAGCAAAACACCCACGGCATCGTCGAGGAGGCTCCCACCACCGGGCAAGCCAGCACCAACCAGCAGCAGCAGCAGACGGTCAAGCTGCAGGACAGTCTCGTCGAGATGTCATCCAACAGCGGAGAGGTCGGTTCGCTGAGGGGCGTCGTGCCCGAGAACTTTGACGCCTTCGACAGATACGTCACCCACTTCCAGGAGGTCTGTCCGATTTGCCACCAACGATTCCGGAGTTCCAAGTGGCTCAAGGCCCACATGCAAAACGAGCACAGTAAGCCTGGCACGGACAAGTCCCCGCAGGCCGTTCCCAGACCGGCACCAGCTAGAGTTCCCAGCGTCGTTTCGAGGGGTCTACAACAGCAGCAACAATCCTCCCTCGGCAGCATCGGTCTCAAGATCCCGAATGGTTTCGATACGAGCCACCAGCAGCAGCAGCAACTCAAGACAGAACTGGCCACACTGGGTAACCAGGTGCTATCCAACTTTTTCGGTGGCTCATCCGACGACCAGCAGAAGCAGACCTACCGGTGCTCCCAGCCCAACTGCAGCTTCTCAACGCCCATCCTGCCGCTATTTTTCCTGCACGAGAGGTCCCACCATCATCACCAGCAACCATCGCACCACCAGGATCAGAGCAGCGATAAAATGCTGCAGTGCCCGATTTGCCACCAGACCTGCGCCCAGCCGGAACAGCTCCAACAGCACATGGTCTCCCGCCACCCGAACCCCTTTCCCGGTCTGCTGCCCCAGTTCCCGATACCCCTGCTCAACGAGCTCGTGATGCCGAGCACCGAGCCGCCCCAGGACCTGGCCAACGAGCTCAAGGAGGACGTCCGCGGCCAGCCAAAGGCCCACATAATGAACGAGATCGACACCAACAAGATGAAAAAGAGACCCGAGGAGAGCGGCGTCGTGCAGGTCATGCCACAGGGTACCTACAAGTGCTCGCAGTGTGGTTACGCCACAGCTAACCTCAACCGCATAAAGAAGCACGTAAAACGGGATCACAGGAGCCTGGGAGATCCGGTGGAAACAGCGTTGGCCGAGCTCACCAAGACCCTGAAGGACGTGGCCAACAAGCACAAGGTGCCGGCGAGTTATGCCGTGCCCCAGCAAGAGTCCAGCCTCTCCCCCGAGAAGACCATCATGCAGCCGTTCATCATCGAGGAGCTGCAACTACAGCCGAGCACCCGGAACAACAACTGCGGCGACAACAACAACGACAGCGTGGTAGCCGACAACAACGGCGAACTCCTCCTTGGTAGGACCTTTGCCCCGGCTCTCGTCTTCCTACCGGTGAAGACGCGGCTCAGTGGCGCCCTCACCACCTCCTTCACCCTGAATCCCGCTTGAGGTGCGTATCACTTTACTGGCTTATCCGGTCAACGACGATGACCACGACGACGATTGTGCAGGTGTGTATTCACATGTACCCGCGCACTCCCGGCGAATCTCAGCACTAGCGGTAACTGGTTCCTAATACACAATTCCCCGAGACTCAACTAGCGCCCCCCGTGAGCTGTGACCGTGACTAAACCAAGGTTGCGACTATTTTTTTGTTACGTATTTTCCGTGCGAAGATGATGATGATCTTGTCAGACGAGCGAATTCGCGAAAGACCCGGTGATTGACACACGATTGGTTTTTCACGAATTCACTCAGTAACGTTAATGTTTTCGCGGCTGATACATATACATGGGTTCTTTGTGCCGCCTATATTGGGATCGGTGATTCTGGGATTTTCACCATGGGGAGTTCAACCTGATCCTTTTTTTAGTAACTAGTTTCTCCGCCATGACTATATGGGTGCACGTGACGATGAAAATCCTGCAATAATAATGATAATAAAGCATATTTATTTCTAACGTATAATAGGTACATTATGCATGGACGCGGGAGTCCCAAGTGGCGCCACCGTCTACCTGCGCCCATATACCTATACAGCGAGTCGCAGATTAGCCGATCCCAATATTATTTTTTAATGATACTCGTTGCGGTCTGGCGCTACGTCTCGTGTAAATACTGCGTTATATACGATTTATTGAGGCAATTGTAGTATTTTTTAAATGCAAATGGGTGATCAAAACAAAAGTTCCTATTTTTCAGCGGCTCTACGGATTTGTATGTATTGTACGTTAATCAAATGATAGGTGGAGCCGCCAAAAAGCGATATGTAGTTCCACGATAACTTTTATTGACTCGCGTAAAGATGTTCTCTCGCTTATCCTCGATGTAATTTTATTGGTTTGTTATTACCTACTTTTTATTCTCTTCGTCGTTTTTCATTTTTATTACACAGATACGTGTATAGTATCTTTAAGTTTTTTTTGTTTTTTTTTTTTTTAGTATTTCACCTCTCATAGGATTTATTTGTTTTATCATGTACATTCGGCGAAAAATTCCATAAAGTTCCTGTACTGAAGCACTCAAAACTCGTGGGGTTTCTATAGAGTGCCAGCCGTTAAATGATGATATACTTATACTGTACGAATAGAAAAAAAAACATTAAGCCACTTTCCGAGGCCTTCTGACTGATATATATATATATAAAAGTATATATTTCCGTATTTTGAAACAAGAAATAACATAACAATGCCTTTTGACGAGAACCGTTGTATATGGTATATATATATATAAAAAAACTAAAATAGTAATTGAAGAGAACAAAGAAATTTATACGTGCGATATAGTTTTTAAACAATTTATTATCAGCGAACGGAGAACATGATGATGACGATAATAATAATGATAAACGAAACCAGGGTCTTATACGCAGTTAAACCCGTAACGTAAAGTACAATCGTATGACGATATGCATGATGATGCGAGTGCACACAGCCAATCGAGTGGAAAAACAGATCTGTAATATATATATAATTACATGTGTAGGAAAAAATATAAATTATACGACGACGATAATCGAGAATTTTTTTTATGATGATTGACAAAAATTTATAAACTCAAGTCGTGAATGGAATGATCCTCGAAACCAAAGAATATTACATGTACTGACAAAGAGACGCACTTTTGTAGTCTCGTGTTTTTCTGGTCTTTTTATCATTTCCAAAGTTTGATCAAAGAAATTGAATCACTAGTCAGCGACGCAGCTGTTTTGTAAATCTAGTCTGACACGCGAATCATGTGAACTAATGTGTATTTGTTTTTATTTTTATCCGAAAAAAAAAGAAAAAAAAAAAAAAAAAGATAGAAGGGAAGCTGTTCATTTTCGTGCCTTGCAGCTTGAGAAACTGAGAATCAAAAATTTAGTGCTAAAATTCGTTTTTAAGGTGATAGCGCAATTTTTACAGGTTGTTGCTTTTTTACCTTTTTCCGACTGGAATCTTTTACTTGTAGGAAAACTAATTACTCAATATTGAGGCAAAAAATCAACGATATTTTAGGAGAGCTTTCGTTTACGCCACTTTTGCGTGAGAAATTTTGTTAAAAAGCATGATGATAAAAAAAAATTCCTTGCATTTTACAGCAGATCCCTAGAAAAGTATACATTTTTTTTCCTATTCGTAGGAATAATAAAAGTAATTTTTTGTCCCCAAACACCAGCTCTCCTGTGACCTCAGGGTGGGATAACTCGTAGGAAAAAAGGGCTTTCGAAAAACGTGTGGGTTTTTGTGTATATACACATACAAAATCGATCGAAACACACATCCTCGCGTTAGCGCAGCTGCTGCCCTTCCGCGCAATCGGACGAAGAGAAAAAAAAAAAAAAAAAAACGTCAAGCGAGAAAGAGAAAGCGAGTGACCAGTGCATTATACATTCGGCCCGACCTGACCTCCCTACTTATCCTACGTTCGAAAAAAAAAGCACGCGCGCAACCCGGTATACGCGGACAAATAAAACAGTCGAGCGCATTTCCGATTTCAGGACTCACCCTCCCTCGGACAACGTATACCGGCAGCTCGTAGAGTCTAGGTGCAGCAATAGCAACTAACTAGCACTTTGGATATTTCCCTTTTTTTTTTTTTTTTTTTTTTTCGGTCTCGTCCCCCTCGGAGCTTTCACACACATGTACGGTTCTATTTCGGCGGTTTTCGGACCAATCATTAAAATTAATTTACCCCCGCTACTCTACGAGTCTTTCGATCCCACCCCTATATGCGTACATATTCCGCTGTGGTGGCTGATGTGATAGACGAGCCACTGTCCTTACACATAACCTACGGAGAGATAAGCTCCGTGAAAATTTACGAGTTTCTCGCCCTTTCGGCTCATCGGTTGTTGCGATTTCATCAAATTAAAGTTTTTTCTTTTTTTTTTTTTTTTTTTCATACATCAGATAAGATCCAAGGCTTGATTGCTCCGAAAACGACATTACCAACGCACAAAGTGGGAAACCACCGCGGCGCAATCAAGCCTCGAGAGCAAATGTTTTTTTTTTTTTTTTTAAATTACCCTCCAATTATTCAATCACAGCGATGGGAGGGAAACTCGGAGCAACGCTATCAAAAGTTGGGAGCTGCAAATAATACGCGCGGAGAAAGGAAGAAAGGAAAATCGAAACTGGGGAGCAAACGTATTCAAATTCTCGGCTTTTGTCTACAAACGCGTGTGCAGCGTCGCCTCGCCTTCTCCCCGAAGCCCGTAAATCATTACCGTTAGCCCCACATTTCGCGTCGACGCGGCACGAGCGCGGGGTCGTTTTTCCAAAAATCCGTCAGAATTAGCATGCGCTCGACGCATACGCGCGCAATACTTGCCTTCGTGCATTATATGTTTCTCTCCTTCCCTGGGGGGGTACGGATCGCATTAACATAAATTTCCGGGTCGGACGGACCCCGCGACCATTGCGCTGCAGAGGAGACGCGCTCGTAATGCGCCCATTGAGGGAAACTAGTGGGGCGAACGGACGCGAGCACGAATGGATAATAAAAACGAGCGTGTATAATGGGCGTATGAGTGTGCGCGTATGCATTATGAGGGAAGAAAAAAAGAATCCGTATAGTGGCGGACGGCGAGGGGCGAGAGATCGGAAAAAATTTCGAGTCTCGGTTTTGGGTGCTCGCTCGAGAAAATGTAAATCGTCGTGTCGCAAGGGGGAACGGAGGTCAAAAGCCACGGTCCACATCTCTCTCTATCTCTTTCTCCGGTGACTATTTTTCTCTGTCAGGAGTGCGGGATCTCCCGACCCCTCCTTGATCGTTGCATATATACATATATATGCTCTATCGACTCATTCGTAATATCGCGTGCCCAATGACACGCAGAACGATGCTGTAAGATTTTCTAATTTTTGTTTTTTTTTTTTTTCCCCTTCAGTGAATAGATTTTCGTGAATTTTCACAGCTTTTGAAGTCAAATGATGATCGTCATTTTCGGGAGTTTTCGAAAATCGTTTCCTTTGTTTTTCGTCTGTAATCCATATTATATGGTATTTCAGTTTAGTACCAAATAATCGAGGAAAAATCAAACAAGCCGGACAATTGTGCGGAAAAGTGAGCAACGGAGTGTATATTGTACTGCTATACGTTGGAATTGCCATTACATTTATTTATAAAATGAGCGCAAAATCAAACCAGTAATTATAGGATATAGTATAAACATACAACATAATATATACACCTACGTACATGGAGAGTCGGATAATGAAAACTAATATATGTATACACGCATTTAATATTATGATTATGATTATTATTACCATGACTGTACGATAGTGGAAAAAGCGACGTAAAATATGTTGAGGAAAAGCAAAAAAGGAATGAAATGTACTTTTCGTAAAAATAATTATATAAATATATATATACGTATACTTACACCGTATATTCGAAGAGACAAAAGAAGGATGATGACGATGTATTATAAAAGAAAAGAAAAGAAATCTATATATTATATTATACATACATATTTGCGTGTAAGCTAAAAACACGGCGATGACATTGTGCAAAGTCGGTGTGCGTGTGTAATGACTGTGCGAAGAATGCAAGTATGAAGTAGACATTATATACGCAACAAACAAGATAATACACAATTGAAGAGTTAGCCTTGTTGCAGGTTTGGATAGGAATGTCTAGTCATTAGAAATTTTTTTTTTTTTGGGATGGGGGATTTTTCAACAATTTCTTACGTAAAACTAGTCGATGGACAAAGTGAAGCTTTCGTGTATGCAAGTTCGGATTTTTCGTCAGTCCGAACCATCTCAGGGTTATTTTTACTTTTAAGCTAAACCGAAACAATCGATGATTTCTTGTCAAATCGAAACGAAGCCATGTGTACTTTTAGTTAGTTGCTTTCAGTGTCCAGACACGTACAACTTATAATTTTGTATTTGTTTGTTTGCTCGCTTATTACTTTAACGCTGCGTTGTATTTATTTATTTTCATTTTTTTTTCTCCACTCATCCACTCTGCACATTAAACGTA